ACCCCCCCCCCCTGCCTGTGAAGTCCTATTTGTCAGAGCAGACAGCAGGTTAGCATTAAATATACATGGGGATTGTCAGCCGGTGGCAAACACAAAGGCAGCCAGGCGAGGCCCAGTGGGATCCCAGTCGGGTGGAGACAGCCGGGTTTGGGCAGCCGGGTGGAGACAGCCGGGATCGGGCAGCCAGGTGAAGGCAACCGGGTGGAGGCAACCGGGTGGAGGCAGCCAGGATCAGGTAGCTAGGCCCAGGAAGCCTGCACAGACACACACACAGGTTTCAAACGGAGCAGGAGGTCAGAGGGACCAGCGCACACACAGATGCTCCAGCGTGCTGGCGCACGTGAGCGTGCACGAGCACGGGGGGCTTTGCAGTCCCTCACATCTGTGGTCCGCCGGGGCTCCGGGTGGCGAGCAGGCTGAATCCCCACGGCGCTCCCTCTCTCCCACCCAGATGCAGCCGGAATACTGAGCGGGAGTTCTGTTTCTGAGGCCTCGTGTCTCCAAAGACCCGCAGACACACAACGCTCTCCGTCAGCTATTCACCAGCAGGCCGACAGACACACAGAGAGAAAGAGAGACGCGAGGACACAGGCGCCATTTTATCTGAATCTGCTGAGAACGAGAGCCGGATCACTCTGGAGTCAGCCTCAGATCAGATCCAAAATGGCCGCCTCAGCAGCCACAGACATCATATTCACAGTCTTTAAACCGGATGGCAGCTAAAGGCAGTTTTTACTCAGTTTTCTGACTTTTTATCATAAAAAGTATTAGTTTTTTATATTTCAGGACGTCACTCAGACTCTAAAATGCTCTTTAACAGATGTTAACGTGAGCTGAAAACCTCAGAAGAACAACAGTGAGTCATTTCATTGGCTCTCTGATTGGTTTATGGACCTTCAGTTCCTACTTCTACCATCTACCAATGATAAGAGCTCGGATCAGCAGCTGCTGGATGCTGGCTCACTTTAGCTAAATAGATATAAATAATGAGCCATGAACATTTCGTCATGAGCTGTTTGTCTGAGTTTTTATGTCCTGACACATAAAGACACATGGAGGTCTGATTTCTTCTCTAAATGACTACATTCCGCTTTCGGGACTGGGAGGCCGGTCGGACCTGTGGTGATGCAGAAGCACGTCTCGTGTGGAGAGACGTGGTGGATGCTGTGGTGTTTCCGTGGCAACGCCAGGTGCCAGTCCTGGAGCAGACCAGTGCGGGAGGCTGAAGCGGGAGTGGTCAGCGTCACAAACACCTCCAGGGCAAACACGGGGCAGTCCCGGGTAGGAGGCCGCCAAGGCCTCTGGAGGGTGACGGGGGCAGAGGAGGAGGAGGAGGAGGAAAGGGTCAAAGGCTGCCTCAGAGAGGAGGAAGGCCGCTTTACAAGGAGTTTAAAACAAGAAAACAAAGAAAAAAAATGTATCAACAAAATAAATCAGATAGATCAAAAGTGAAGAGAGCAGATAAAATCCATCCATTTAAATGGATGTTTAGCTGGATTAGCTGAGTTCTGCCTCTCTTCTCCAGGAAGACTGATCCAGACTTTAGGAGCAAAAAACTGAAATGAAGTCTCTCCTGGTTTGGCTCTGGTTCTTTTTCTGGGCCCCAGCAGGAGACCAGAACCTGGTTCTCAGAGTCCAGCTGGTCCAGATATGGACTTTAGACCACGAAGAGACCAGAACACAAGCAGAGCTGCTTTACAGTCTATGAGAGACAGGAAGCCAGATACCTGAGAACTGGACTGATGTGGTCCTGGTTCTGGTCAGAACTGGACTGATGTGGTCCTGGTTCCTGGATCAGAGTTTCTGGGTCTGGTTCAGACCCTGTTTCTCTGGTTCTGGATGTCTTTAGATGGTAAAAAGCTGCTGATGTTTACGATTTAATGCTAAAGTTCAGGTCTGAGTCCAGATGTTTGAGCTGGATTTTAGCTTCCAGAGTCTGGAGGTGACTAGAGACTCTTTCTCTTAGTTTCTGTGGGCCCCAGACAAAGATTAACACAGAGGAGGAAAAATAATGTGACGTTAGCAACAATCAGAAGCTAAGAACCTGAACTACTCCAGGCTACTTTTTCCTGTTTGTTGTCGGCTCAGAGTGGCAGTTTGGCCTCACCCCCCACCTGTGAAGATTCCTCCACCAG